AGAATGAGAAATTCCGGAGATAGAAAAACAATAAAAAATCAAAAATCAAATCAGGAATCAAAAGGAAACCTTCACAACGCTTGGTACTGATATTTCCTTCTTGATCAACCTCTTGATGTGTTAAGATGTAGTCGCTGGATTTTTGAAGTTGGTGAGCCTGATAGGTGTTGGTTGACATAGAATATTTTAAAAAAAAGAAAAAGACTAGATTCTTAACTGGTTTACATGCATGTTCACTGTCTATATGAAGAAGTTCAGCTAGCAGACTTTTTGTCAAAGTGAAGAGCCTTACCTCAGGTTTCGTGACATGTTTGGCATTGCTTGGCATTTTCACGCGAAGGATTCCTCCTGTTGGAACACGGTGCGTCGGTTGATGATCGAGGACTCTTGGAGCTGATTTTGATCTGAAGGCAAGATTGGAGAGGAGAATTTCAAGGAAAAATCGCTCTTCTTCCGCTTACCTCCTGTGATATTTAGGGTTGAAGAACCCTGGCCCGGATGTTGGTGTCCCTGGCTCCGGTTGACGTGAGCGTGGTTGTCGTGAAGAACTTGCCACTTGATTACTCGTTGTAGCTGTCAAGACACGCTGAAGTTATATAAATAACATAACAATAAAAGGACAGTTGAACACCATCACAATATACATTTCGCGATGTCGCAGCAGATGACGGCGTTTCGGTTCCCATTGAAAATTTGCTTCTCAACTGAGCGAACGAGGGCGATGGAGCATCGCAGATATCTTGGATCTGAAATTTGAACAGTGATTTTAGAAACCTCACCTTTACATTTAAGCAGACAAAATCTGAACTCGGCTTACCACTTTCAGTTTCTGGTCCTGTTTTCTTGCACGAGAACGCTCTTCGTTTACACTTCGCCGCAAATTCTCTTCAGCCGTGATGATTTCTTCATCTTGAACTTCATACCGTGAAAGACGTTCACGAAGAGACATCAATTCTCTCTATAAATTTTAATGAGCTTAATTCTTCGCTCTGCGTATGAAAACAGCACTCACCTTCAGCTTCTTATTCTCAGCAGAATAGGACGCTATCTGTTCAGCGTCTTTTTCTATGCGTGCACGTAATTCATCCATCTCCATCTTGGCGTAGTCAGCGACACAGAGTGCGTTTCGCAAGGTAATCTCACCGCTCCGAACTAAAAAAAGCTGTTTTGGCTGGATGCTGTCGAAGCAATAAAGGGGTAAAACAAGCAACAGGAACAGCCACTTACCAATTCACCCTTCACAGCTTCAATGACATAATAAAAGCAAAAGGAATTGCAGCACGGCCTGTCTCGACACTCACCCTCATGCTATGAGAATTCGCCCTCTCTTTAAGCTAACCACAATTCATTTGTTCCGAATCTTCGGGCTGTCTCGGAAAGTTGTCGCAAATTACGGTAGTTCCACCCACTTCGAAGGACGCCCCTGCCACTGCCTATTACTACCATTTTTTCTTGTCTCTCAGAACACTGGTCTGAATTTTCGTTTGCACTGACCCCTTAAGGAACGGTTCACCAACCGCGAGCTCTGTCTAGCTTTATTGCTACTTAGTGACTGCTCCATACCCCATCAATTCTAAATTTAACCCAGCCTCTCCAAGTACTCATCTAGGTGATAACGAGTTTCAAGACGAAGTGCAAGCAGCCACATAGACAGAAATAGCGCTTCAAATGTAGTAAGAAAATAACTAATTGATTCAAAAAGTTCATAGTCTTACTTTCGGCTCCAATGTCACGATTTTCACTGGAGGTTAATTGTGACAAAGCAAGACAACGCTCCTTCAGATTTGATATAGATGTAGAGTCGTTATAATCCTGAAAAGGCAATTGTTCCAGTTGACGGCACAAACAGAAACTGTAGAAATTACAGAAGACAATACATTCCATAGTCCTACCTTGATGTACAACTCCGTAAACAGCCTATTGTTTGACGGTAGTAAAAGCGAGGGGGTGGCGATGTTATCGACTTCAATATTCCATCGTGAAAAGAATCTACGAGGCACTGGTGGCCGAGGACCATCACCAATTTCTAAGCGATCGTCTGCGCGTGCGATTTGAACAGTTTGAGATTCTTCAGCAAAAGCTAGCACATTCTGAAAAATCGAGATGTGTGCAAATAACTGCTGTAGGTTATCCATTCACCACAACAGCAGAAAATAAAAATCCCACCAAGTTTTCCTCAAAGTCGGATGGCTTTGGATTCGCGCAGATAATCATTCGGATCTTACCAGCGCCTTCAAAATAATTCTTGAAGAGCATTGTAAGTTTTGCATCGCGATACGGGACCGTCTCATGAAGGGAAGATCGTTGGTTTCTCCTGAAGTATTGAAGTCTGCGGGTGTATAACTTTACAAGTATTGCTTAGAGAGAAAAGATGTTTCATGTTACATATAATATAATAAAATTGGGAAAAAGAAATGAAAAAATTGGAGGCAAAAAAGCGGCCATGGCGTTACGGAAATTACGGAAGACATAACGGCTTTTCTTTTCTTCGGCGTTAACAAATAACCGAACGAAAACATGTGTACCTCAGTTTCTCGATGCACTGTCGTAGTACCATTAAACTCTTATTGATAGATGCTGCTTCAGCTAGACGATCACCTACATTCTGGGTCCTTTTCGCTCTTAAAATGAAGCACATAGAGAAGGAAGCAGACAAATAAGACGGCTTGGAAGAGTTAACTCACCGTTCGCTACCAGCAAGATCAACTAACGAGAGTTGCGACACGACAATTCGATTCGGATCGCTATCAGGATATACAGAATAGCTAGTGGACTAAATAGAAGTATCCGAATGAAATTTCATAATACCGTCATGATTTGAGAAAAGATGTAAATTGTTATTTGTACAATACATACTTATTTTATCAATGTTTTACTGGAGGAACGTTCTTATTGCATTTCATTTTACTATACTAAGCCCGATGCAACAACCACAAGGTATACAAAGATCAAGCGGGGAGTCAAACTTGGATCTGAATCTAATTAAAAAAGAAAGAAAACTTACGTCGAATGGAGCCATCACTAGTCGAATAGTAAAAACAGAGTGCGAACGCGATGACTCTTTATTGAGAATGGTATCACTCGTTCGGCGTCGCTCTTCTCCTAAACTCGAAAGATGGGAATCTTCAATCCCTCAGTGTAATTTAAACATGCACCAAAATCTGTACAGTTCAGGAACCGTGAAGTCGTAAAATGATAGGATCACCTCGGTACAAGATTTAGACTTTTTTGAACTCGTAGATCGTAAGATCACATCACATTTATTAATGAAACCAGGTTTGCTCCGCCCGCTATCGCGCGCATCACAGGGTAGGGAGGAACCACGGAATAGCAGCATGACGTACTCCATTAACCACCTCACTATTGAATGTGTTATACCTCCTTATACCCCTTCTCTCCGGCGCATGGCAGCACCATGTTCTCGCTCCCTTCTCTCCCCCTCCCCTTCTGCTTCCCCCTCCCCTCTACCGCCCGCCGACTCCGGCTGCCCCGGCACCCGGCAGCACCATGTAGAATGAGGCTGAGTGTGCTCGTTCGGTGTTTTTGTAGCCATTGTGGGTGTTATCACAATCACCACATCAGGTTAGAATAATACGTCAACATGAATATAGACCTTACTCTTAAAACGGTTCGCCTCTCAGTCTATCCTTCCCCACGCTTTACCCTCCTTACCCGCTTCATAACGGCGCCATGTTCTCGCTCCCTGTTCTCCTCTCCTTCCCTCCCCTCCCTTCTCTTCTCTTCCTCCCTCCCTTCCAGCCTCCCCTTTCTTGCCCCTCCCTCTACCCCCCCCCCCCCGCTCATCCGGCTGCCACGGCAGCACCATGTAGAATGAGACTGAGTGTGCTCGATCGGTGTTTATATAGCCGCTGTGGTGTTATCATGATCATGACATCAACATCACGAAGTGTTGCCCTTCGTACTCCCTGGTTTTGTGAGCGGTTGGTCCGGACGGACAGAACGACACACACACCGACAAACCGACACACCAAAGTTCTGGTTTATATAATGAAGTGATACTACCACGTCAGTGCGGATCAGTATTTTCATTCAACAGTTTTTGTTGCGCCTCACACTGCCCCCATTAGTAAAAGAATTGATAAAGAGACCTTTGCAGAACAGCTCCAAAGCTTCATCACTGTTGTCAACCTCGACTTCCCTAGCACCATCTACATATACGATATTGTTAATATCAATACGAGTATCACGTTTGGTGAGAATGCTGAAATAGATACCCAAAATCATGGGAAAGGATCAGAAAAAACACACAAGAAAACTCACTTTTTTGTTTCGAGTAAATCATAGCAATAGTTGTTATATATTTCTACATAAGATACAAATACAGAACAGACATAATTATCGTTATATCCGGGAACCTGGAGATATTCGCGTCAAACTCAATCAGCAGTTGATGAAATTTGAAAAAAAACTGACTAACCACTCTCCTTTCCATGTATCGCTGGTCAATCTCACTACTTATCTGAAGACGTTCCATCTCGGCTTGTCTTCTAGCAATATGAGCTTCCATTTTGGAGCGAATACCAAAACCGTTTCGGCCATTCGGGTAGAACACGCAACGATCAACTCTTGAACCAATTCAAAATTTGAAACGAAATTACACCTGTCGCAAAAAAAGTAACGAGTACTTGTTGTCGATACTATTGAACACAACATCGAGAGTTCTAGGCAACAACCCGGTCTCCTCAGGCGTAGGCTTCCCGGTCATTGTGTACGTTTTGCCGCTACCAGTAACCTTAAAGCAGATTTTGAAAGATATCTAAAAAGAAGAGTAAACACAGGAAAGCGCACCCCATATGTGAAAAGTAGACCATTTTTTCCATTCAATAAGTGCTCTATTAGGTCGACGACACATCGCTCGAATACGACTTGTTGGCGATCATTTTCATCAAAAACATAGCCAAATTCGAAGTCCTTGGGCATCTGGAAAAACATGACTCTTATGGAAAGAAAATACTCTGACCAATAGGCGTTTCATTCAATATAGCTCTGACGGTGCTAGGTGAGTTCGGGTGGGGGAGCATGCGGAAGGCGCAGCGTTTGTGAAACGCAATGGGAGCATGAGCCTAGGAGACTCAAATGTGCCGAAAGTCAATCGCAAGGCATAATGTTCCTAGTTTACTC